TGATGCCATGAACTAAAGATGGAAGGAAGTAGAGCAGTGGAAATGGTGCTATGGGTCTGCTAAGTTAGGTCTGCTTTTCCTGGACTTCTAGGGGAACTTCGGCTTTAATTCTTGGCACTGAGCTCTCTCTCCTCAATATTGCACATGCCCATACCCTTTGCAGTAGGAAAGATGAGACTTGTTCTTTAAGAATACATGAACAGCTGGGTGCAGTGGCTCATGCCTGTAATTCCAGCAGGTGAGGATTACCTGAACCCACGGGTTCAAGACCAGCCTCGGTAACTTGGCAAGACCTCATCTCTACAATTAAAAAAAAAAAAAAGTTAGCTGGGTGTGGTGACGCATGCCTGTAGTTCCAGCTACTTAGAAGACTGAGGCGGAAGGATCGCTGGAGCCCAGCAGCGCGATGCTGCAGTGATCGTGAGCGTGCCACTGCCCTCCAGCCTGGGCAACGGAGTGAGACCCCGACTCAAAAAAAGAAAAAAAGAATACGTGAACAGACAAGAAACTGGAAGCATCGTAGGATTTAGATGATGGCAGGAGAAAGAATGTAACCTTTTCAATGTTTCTGTATGTGCCCGCCACCTTTCTCTGTCAGATAACAGAGATGAAAGCTTCCCGAAGGAGGCGGGACAGGGCAGTGGAGAAGAGCACAGGCTCTGTGGTTAGAGGACCTGAGAGCCAACTTCAGAAGCTCAGCTGCAGCATGTTCTACGCGTGGTTACCCTGTGCTGTAGCGCCTCCTCTGTGAGCTGGGGATGCTGTCGGGACCTGCCTCTTAGAATTAATCACCACAAAGCAGCGTTTTTAGGTCTGCAGTTTCTCATCCAAGGGCTTCCTCTGCCCTATTTAGGCTGTGGGGAGTGCCTCACTCAGGAGCTAGTCTGTTTCCCGGCCTGTCTCCCCAGCTTCCCTCTTTACGCCAAAACTTGCCCAGTTCGCAACCTGCAGACTTCAGTGGGCAGTCAGTGAGAGGCCTAGAGTAGGGCTGAAACGTTGCCAGGCAGCAGTGGGATCTGCAGTGGGTTGAAGGCCAGGTCGTGGATATTTAAGGCTATAAATCTCTTTCCTGCCAGTGGGTCTTGTCTTTTTTTCAGTGTTTTTTCTGGTACAATGCATTAAAAAAAATTTTAAATGTTATCTCTAGGTATCTTTATTTCATCTTTTGTTGCCATAGAAGAAAGGCACATAGCTCCTAGTGGTGTTCAGCTAGATGAGTTTTCACAAATAGGATCTAATTGTGTAACTACCACCCAGGTCAAGATGGAGAACGGGGCCGGTAACCCAGATGCCTCTCTTGTGGCCCTTCCCAGTCATTCTTCTCCCAAAAGGTTACCACTGTACTGACTTATTTCTTGACAGACTTAGTTTTGAACTTTGTGTAAACTGTATTTTCTTTCATGTATTTTTTCACTCACCATTATGTCTATAAGACTCATCTATGTTGTGTTTAGCAGTAGTTCACTCTTTTTCATTGCTGAGTAATATTCCATTGTACAATAGTTTATCCATTCTACTGGTGGTGTTAGGTTGTTTGCAGGTTTTTGTTACGAATGGTGCTGCTGTGAACATTCTTATAAATGTCTTTTGGTACACGTGTGTGTGTGTGTACATTTCTGAGTGGACTTGCTAAGGCATATGGGTATATTCAGCTTTGGTAGACACCTTTGGGTAGATAAAACTGAACTTAGATGAGAAAGTCCTAAATAAAGTACTAGCAAACTGAATCCAGTTATGTGTGTGTGTGTGTGTGTGTGTGTGTGTGTGTGTGTGTGTGTGTGTGTGTGTATATATTATATAGTATATTATATATGATAACACTTTCCAACCAAGTTGATCCACAAAATGGTTTTATGTTTGAAAATCAAGCTGTATAATTTACCACATCAGAATAAAGGAGAAAAATGTCAATTGATAATCTCAGTATGACCATCTTAGTAGATAAAGAATGGAGATTTTGTTCCTCTATAACAGTACATTTATCACACTCAAGAAATATTACTTTAAGGGCTGGGTGTGGTGCCTCATGCCTGTAATCCCAGCACTTTGGGAGGCTGAGGTGGGAAGATTGCTTGAGTCTGGAAGCTGGATACTAGCCTGGGCGGCATGAGACCCCATCATCACCAAAAGAAAACAGGAGTTTGAGGCTGCGGTGAGCCATGATTGTGCCACTGCACTCCAGCCTGACGACAGAGCAAGACTCTGCCCCTTGAGAGTGTGAAACAATCACTGGAAAGTGAAAAGCCTTCTGAATCCACTTTGTGGAAGAGGGTAGTCTCTTGCCATGCCTTCCCAGAAGTCTTTCACCTACCCTTTCTCAAATACAGCCCCCCCATCTAAGAGGAACAATTATCCAGATTTTTATGATAAAGGTATTTATGGTTAGTGATGTTTATCATTTAGTTTTATCAAGTTTTCAATATTGTTTAAATCATATTTTAAGATCATAATTAAATTATTAATATATGCTATTTTAAAATAGTATTTTAATGTGACAGGGTCTCATGATCTGTATATTTTCCCATCTTCATTCTTTCCTTTTGTTTTGTACTTGTCCTTCTCAGTACATGGTATCAGGAGGCATAGTGTAGCTATTTGTCTTTCTACTGATGGTACAACTTTTCATCATTTTCGTTAAGTTACTTGCCAGGTTTGTCTACTGTTTCTCCCTTTGTACAAGGACTTTGTGATACGTACTTTGGGTAAATGTCTTGTTTCTCATCAAACTTCCATCCTAGTTTTAGCAATTGTTGATGACTCTTGCCCAAACCATTTTTATTACAGTGTCTGCCAAATGCTGAGTTTCTGGCTCGGTTATTCTGTCTGTACCTAATAGCTGGAATTCTGTTAGAAGGAAGGCTTTCTATTTTCCTTTTCTTGTGTACTTCAGAATTGTACATATTTTAATTTTATTCTGTAGGTGATATATTCTGCTACTGTCATTTATCTTGTTGCACGAATGGTCCCAGTTTGGGCCAGTGGCTTTTCCTTTGAGCTGGTGCCTGAGTTCTTTTGCTGTGTCTCTTTGAGTGCTTTCTTACTTCTGGCATGAGATGTTTCACCTTACTTGATGCTTTTCTGGTCCCAGACCTGGAAGCAGCCATTTCTCCAAGGAGACTTGGTTCCTTTTAGTGGATAATGGTACACAAAAGCAAAGGGCTTGGTGCTAGATAGGGTTTTTCTTCCTATTTTTGCCATGTGGGGTTTGTAGAGCTTCTTGAATTCATGGCTGGATGTTTTCTGTGAGTTTTGGAAACTTCTTGGCCATTAGCTCTTTGAGCCTTGCTTTTGCCCTGTTCTTCTGGGATTCCAGTGACTCGGGTGTTTGCGCTTTTTCACTGTGCCCCGTATGTCTCTTATGCACGTTTTTTTATTTTCTGTGCTCTAATTCTGCTGTTCTGTAATTTTCTTCGGCTGTGTTTAACCCTGTATTAAACCCACTAACTTACGAAAATTCTCAACATCAATTATTATGTTTATCAGTTCTAGGATTTCCGTTGGACTCTTCTGATAGATTGCACTTGTCTAGTAAAATTCTTGATCAGTCTTCTGGTTTTTTAAGGCATATCAATTATAATTATTTTAAAGTCTGTGTCTGATAACTCCTATATCTGGATCACCTGTGTGTTTATTTTTATAGTGCCCCCCACATTTTGTGGTCTTTTTTTTGAATGTAGGAAAGCAGTTTTATAATCTGTGAAGTTATAAACACAATGTTCTTAGATTTTCTGAAATGCAAGTACTTGATCTGTTTCCCTCAGTCAGTCTGTTGCTAACTTTTGTTGTAACAAACAACCTCCAGATCTCAGTAGTTTATAACAGTAAAGGCTTATTTCTTGTTCCTGTCACATTTCAGTTTCTGAATAGCTGCAGTTATGTTCCACGGTTATTATGTTCCACGTGTGCCATTCTTTCTGAAGTCCGGGATGGAGGAGAAGCCCCCATTAGGGATCCATTGACCTCATGGTCAAAGTTATAAGAGAGATGTGGACAGTGTAATGTCTTTTAAAAGTCTGCTTGGTAGAGGGTCATGCCATGCCTGCTCACAATCTGGTGGTCAGACCGAGTCATGTAGCCAAGCCTGCAGCTAACAGGGTACAGAAGAGTAGGTACTCATTTCACAGAGAAGCACTGCAAGTTACATGGCGAGGGTAGGAATGCACACTCCTTTTTCAGCAAGGCAAGAGTGAATGAGTTGGAACAATACTGTAATATATCCTACTATACTATAAGAAAAACTTCCAATTTTGAAAAAAAGCTACATGTGCATGAAGATGTGAATATAGAATTATTGATAATAATAAACTATAAGCAGTAACAGGGAACTTTATGGTGTATTCAGCAAGATTTGAAGCCATTGTTAAAGTGATGAGCCTCCCCAATCTGAAATTCAAAATGCTCCACAATAAAACACTTTCGAATGCTGACATGATGCTCAAAGAAAACATTCACTGTAGTATTTCTGATTTTGGATTTTTGGATTAGGGATATTCAGCCAATACAGTTGCAGATATTCCAAAATCTGAAAAAGTTCAAAATCCAAAACACTTCTGGTCCTCAGGATTTCAGATAATATATACTCAACTTATATCTAGCAATACTGGAAAATGCATTTAATGTAATATTAAGTGAAAGAGCAATGTATAAAGTATATATACCCATTGAGTACACCTGTATTCCTATAATCATACATTAGTAAGAAAATTGAAAATTGTTATTTTAGGATGATAGACTTATGAATGATTTTTCATTTTCAGACTTAAACGTTTTCTAGGGCTGTTATTTTATAATTTAAAATAGTTTGATTTTTATAAAAGGTTATTTTTCAGTCTAAAAGCCATATGCACGTATTAGAGGAACATTGGAAAATTCAGAAAAAGATTAAATAATAAATTTTGGAACCATCTCCCAAAATCACCACTGTTACTGTTTTTGGTGTGTTAAAAAAAATCAGTGTTAAAAAAAGATTTAGAACCATGTTTTGTCACATTTCATTTCAGGTCCTGAAAATCCTTGGCTGGTTCAAGCTTATGTTTCAGCAGCTAAACACCCTTTTGCTTCTGTGGTGGCTCAGGAGGTTTTTCAGAGTGGAATCATTCCTTCAGATACAGACTTTCGTGTCTACAGAGATTTTGGAAACATTCCAGGTATTTTGTCAATGGTTATGGGCTGTTGTTGCACAGCATTGATTTAGCAAAAGCAGATTTTGCTTCTTGATAGTCTGTGAGTAAACAGCATCTTTTGAGAGGAAATTCTTTGTGTGAACTCTCCATTCTGACTCACTAAAGCAGAGTTCCTGATGTTTTCTGTTTCCACCTCCACACTAATATAAATGCTTGCCTCCTCTAGAATATGTCATCTTCCCCACAGTGTGACGGAAGAACAGGGGAGAACCGTTTAGCCCTTCATTCCCAAAAGATGGTAATAGATCCTTCAGAGGTCCTTGACTTTTGTTGTTGTCGTCTTGCTTTGCCGACTCCCTTGGTAACATATGTCCCACTTATTGGAAATTAGAATTTGGTTCTGGCCTGGCAAGGGTGTAGATGGCAAAGCTTGGTGACCTTCCAGACTCAGTATTTCCATCCCTTGCTGTGTGACTTGTAGCGCCTCCCTGTGGAGGAGTATATGTCCTCAATCATGCATTGAATTACGTACCATAGCTGTGAGAATTTGAAAGAGAATTGACATCATTCATTCCTAAGTGTGACAAAGCAGTCATGCCACTGCTTTGACATTTTGTCTTTTAGGAATTAAATACGTTAAACAAATAGGCCTAAAACCAGGATGGTCTTTAAAGCAATTGACTTTTTTCTGTTTGTCTTAGGAATAGACTTAGCTTTTATTGAGAACGGATACATTTATCACACCAAGTATGATACAGCGGACAGAATTCTGACAGATTCCATTCAGAGAGCAGGTTGGTACTCTAATTTAGACTTTTAGTATACAGTAAGATGAACTATTTGGGATGATAGATTGACCTGTCGTTATTCTGTATTCTGTGCCTTGGAGAGGCAGTGTGGAATGTAAATGCATGGAGCTCGAGTTGGAGAGGTCTCAGATTGTAGTCTCACAGTCTAGTTTAGCAACGAAGATCAAAGGAATATTCATTGTGAGGAAATGAAAGGGGAATTGACCCAGGGTTATCGTGGGATTGGTGAGCGATAAGAGTGTAGCCAAGGCTGGGCTCAGTGGCTCAACTTGTCATCCCGGCACTTAGGGAGGCTGAGGAGAGTGGATGGCCTGAACCCACGGGTTCGAGACCAGCCTGGGCAACTTGGTGAGACCTCATCTCTACAATAAATAAAAAATTAGCCGGGTGTGGTAGCGCGCGCATGTAGTTCCGGCTATTTGGAAGGCTGAGGCGGAAGGATTGCCAGAGCCCAGCAGGCTGATGCTGGGGTGGCTGTGAGTGTGCCACTGCACTCCAACCTGGCTGAGAGAGAGAGACTCCAACTCAAAAAAAAAAAAAAAAGGAGTGTAGCCAAGGTGAAAGCGATAAATTGGAGACGGCACCTGGCCACACATTTGGGCAGCTTGCCCAGGTGTGGCAGACAGTGACATTGATCCACAGTTGGGTGAGAAGCACAGATGAGCGGTTGTAGGGCTGGTGTCAGAGCAAGACATGGAGGCAAGAGAGTTGCTGTGACCCCCTGGAGTAGTCCGAGGTGGCAGTGAGTCTGATGCTGAGCCTTAAAGAGTTGATAGGAGCCGGGCTCGGTGGCTCCGCCTGTCATCCTGCGCCTTTGGGAGGCTGAGGGGAGTGGATGGCCTGAGCCCGTGGGTTCGAGACCCGCCTGGGCAACTTGGCGAGACCTCGTCTCTGCAATAAATCAAAAAATCAGCCGGGCGTGGTAGCGCACGCCTGTAGTTCCGGCTACTCGGAAGGCTGAGGCGGAAGGATCGCCGGGGGCCCAGCGGATCGAGGCTGCGGTGGCCGGGAGCGGCCACTGCACTCCAGTCTGGGCGACACAGTGAGACTCCAATTCAAAAAAACAAACAAACAAAAAAGAGTTGATAGGATTTGGCCAGGTATGTTGGCTCGTGCTTGTAATCTAAGCACTTTGGGACACTCACTTGGGACCAGGAGTACTAGACCAGCCTCGGCAACTTAGTGAGACTTTATCTCTACAAAAAATAGAAAAATTAGCTGGGCATGGTGATGTATGCCATAGTCCTTGACACTTGGGAGGCTAAGACAGGAGGATCTCTTGAGCCCAGGAGTTCAAGACTGGGGTGAACGTGATCATGCCACTGCACTCCAACCTGGGTGACAGAGTAAGACCCTATTTCAAAAAAAAAAAAAAAAAAGTAGGATTTGGCTTGTAGAGAGAAGAGAATATTCCAAGTAAGAGCACAGCACAATTGAGGGTCTATGTGGAAGACTGAGGTGAGTAAACTGTGAGACTAAGGTGGGAGGAGTAGTTTTAGAAATAGAAATGAGGTAGAAGTGTGGGGGGTAGAGAACATTGTAGTGGGCTTTAAAACGCATCAAGGAGGTGTGTAGCCATAAGGAGTCATTGACGGCTTGAGTCCATGAAGGAAAACAGTAGGATGGTTTTGCTGCTGTTGGTCAGTGGTGCAGGGTGCAGTGGGTGATGTAGGGGAGAGGGCCAGGAGTCAGGGCTGTCCTGACGGAAATTTGTGTGTGGGATAAGGAGGACCTCGATGTGGTATTGACTCCAGGCAGAAATGAAGGAGGGCGGTGGAAAGTTGGAAGTGTTTTGAATGTAAATTCAGAAGACTCGATAGATGGAATAAAAGGGATGAATCAGGTAGATGGCAGCAAAGTATTAAGCTCAGCTGGCCGGATGAAGGTGATGCCATTAATCGTGATGGGGGGTGACCCGCATCCAGGGTGGCGGTGGAGGGGGAAGGAGAGCGTGAGTTCTGTCAGGCATGTAGGATGGAGGGGTCTTCGAGCCAGCCTGATGAAGACAGTGTTTGAGCTCTTGGCAGACCTGGGTATATGGACTTGGGAATTAAAGGCATAGAGAAAACACAAGTATGGAGAGTAGAAGTGCTTTTGGGAAGAGTGGAACAAAGGCAGAGGACTAAGCCTGAGCTTCGGGGAAAACTCGTCTTAAGGCAGACAGAGAAGCCAGTGAAACAAGTCCAGTGCGAAGAGGGCGGTGTCTTAAGGGGAAAAAAAAAAGAAAATCCAGGATGGAATGAGCAGCAGGGCAGGCCATTCAAGGCTTCCTGTTGTTCCTGCTTGTCAAAGTTTAAATTCATTTGTTCACTGATGCAGCACACACTTATCATAGACCGTTGATGTGTCAGATTTGACCTGATGTAGCGCTCCCTGTTTTTCCACCTTCATTGGTGAGTATTCTCTCTCCTCATTCTGGACTTTTTTCTGTATTTGGAACTTTCGTTCCTCAGGCCTTTGTCTGCACAGTTCCCGACAATCTACTCCATTGTAGCTGGGCCTTGTCATCCCTTGGCTATAAATATCCCGCCTCAGGGATGCTTCCTTGACTTCCCAAACTCCGTTAGTCTCCTACGATATGTCCCTAAGGGACTCTACCACCTCTGCGTATTAACCCTAGCATTCTTGTTCAGTCTGTGAGTGTCTTGTTCAGTGTCTGTGAGCTTTCGAGAGGCCTTTGTCTCGTGTTTCAGTACCGAATTTCTGGTATCTGGAACTGTGTCTGGAACAGTTGGTGCATATCCAGCAAGTGAGGACTAATAAATAGCCTTTGGGTTTGTCGATAGTGAGAATAATTGACCACAGAGAACAGGGCTAGTAGAAGGGAAGAGATAAGGGCTAGTGGGCAGGGCTTGTGAGAGAAGAAGAAATGGAGTGGGGACGAGGATCTGATTGGAAATATGTGGTCGGGGAAGCGAGGGAGAGCCGTGGGATGCTGGAGAGCTGTTTGTGTTCACATTCTCTCGAGTGCTTTCTTCTTCAAACAGCAGATGGTTCGTTTCTGATCTGGAGAGTGGCACATATAAATGACACTCAAACAGTTTATTCAGCCTTATTCTTCATCCCTTTTACTTTTGCTCATAGGTGACAACATTTTAGCTGTTCTTAAATACCTAGCTACATCGGATATGCTGGCTGCTGCTTCTAAGTATCGACATGGAAACATGGTCTTCTTTGACGTGCTGGGCCTGTTCGTCATTGCCTACCCATCTCGTATTGGCTCGATAATAAACTGCATGGTGGTAATGGCTGTCGTTTTGTACCTGGGCAAAAAGTTGTTGCAGCCTAGACATAAGAGTGAGTATTTTCCGAAACTGCAAATTAAGTGTAGGATTTACTCGAAGGTTTTTTACAGTCATTTTGTTTATATCTTCCCAGGAAATTAAACATCTTGAGAATATAAAATTCTCTTTGTAAGACATTTCTAAATAAATATTAATAGGTTTATTATGCATTTAGTCTTGGTGGAGCAGACTGCTTTTATGTTTTTAGGCATTCCATAGTTGTACCACATAAGAGTTAATGAAAAATGAGTGTATAGATTGACTTTTAATGAACAGTCCCATTAAAAAGTCTTGTTCATAGTGCAGACCAACAGCCAACGTAGACCAACATTTTAAAGTATGAAAGAAGTGCTTTTGGTTAAATTGGTTTCTTCTGTTTGAATTGTTTCTGCTTGAAATGTCTCTGAGTCTAAGTTGTCATATGCTGTTACAAGATAAAATATTCAGCAGCAATTTTAAATAATCCTTCATCACCACTTATTTTTCCCATGGTCCTTATCTGCCTTTGTTAGTGAGATTTTATATGAAACTTTCCCTTCTAGTCTCGCCAGTATTCTGGCACGCAAAGCCTCCCAGAAGCGATGAAGATCAGGACTGCCTCTCCCCTAGTTCGAAATGTGTCCGCACTCTTCCTGGGTGACTCACCCCTTTGAGTCTTTAGTATCCACAGACTCCTAACAAGTGTCACTTGACTATTTCTGTTCGATGCCTCCTCTGTTCTAGAATTTAACAGACCTCAACACGAGGACGTTTCAGTGCTCTTAATTACAGTGAGGAATTTTGAAAAAATGTTGGCCCGTGGAACTTTACTGACTGGTTGTATAATTGACTTTATGAAGAGGGTGATCTCACCTTTTGTTTTCTCTTCGTTAGCTGACAACTACACGAAGGACTTCTTGTGCGGACTTGGCATCACTCTGATGAGCTGGTTCACTAGCCTCGTCACTGTTCTCATTATAGCAGTGTTCATCTCTCTTATTGGACAGTCTCTCTCATGGTATAACCACTTCTATGTCTCCGTTTGTCTGTATGGAACTGCAGCTGTAGCCAAAATAATATTTATACATACCCTTGCAAAAAGATTTTATTACGTGGTAAGTGTTAGGTGTATTTATTGATTTATTTCTTCTGCATTCGAGGATTAAAGACAAACTCAAGTGACATTGTATTTGGCCTTTTGAGCTATCAGAAATTATTTACCATGGTTATAGAAAATGCTTCTACACTGTGTTAATTTTCTGGCAGGTTTCTTATTCTAAGGGTTGTGTTGCAGAATTCAAATGAGGTTATAAGGCTGGGTTGTAAACAGTGTATAGGAGGGTGGTGGTGACAGCAAGGCTTATTAGCAAGCCCTCTGCTTCTGCTGAATTTGTAGTAGTTTTTGTATCCATGCTCTTGTATCTGGGTCACCCAGTTAGTTATGTTTGAATATCTCTGTTCTCCACTGGAATGTAGGCTCCTTGAGGGTAGGGACTGTTTTATCCATTGCTGTATCCCCTGTGCTTAGGCAGTGTCTGACACATAGCCCTAACACACAGAAAGTATTTGTTGCCTAATAAAATGTTGTACTTAAATTTTTCTCTTCAGCTTTCCCCCCTTTTTTTTCCTTTTAATTGTATGCTGATGCAGATTCTGATAACACACATGTGTGGTACTCGAGTTAAAGACACATTGCTAAGGAATAAAAGGGAAGAGAAATAGGGCTTTAACTGATTTACTCTGATTTTTAGAGAATATGTCACATTGTCATATGGTTTCAAATATATAAATTTGGCAGAAACAAAATGAGATATTAGGACTATGAAATAATAGGACTAATAGTGAATTATAATGGTTTCTGATTTTCTTTTCTTTTTTTGAGCTGGAGCCTCACTGTCACCCAGGCTGGAGTGCAGTGGCATGCCGCTCATGGCCATGCAGCCTCCACCTGCTGGGCTCCAGGTGAGCCTTACAAGTAACTGAAACTACAGGTGCACGCCACCACTCCCAGCTAATTTTTTAAAAAATTTATTGTAGAGATGAGATCTCACCATGTTGCCCGGGCTGGTCTTGAACCCATTGGCTCAGGAAGTCCTCTCGTCACCGCCTCCCAGAGTGCTGGGATTATAGGTGTGAGCCACTGTGCCCGACTGGTTTCTGATTTTTCTATGTTAATTAAAGGGGAAAATCTTTCTTAGTCCCATTGTTTTCAGGATAGCTAATATAGACCCGCTTTTTAAAATTTGTCCTGATAGGGATTAGAATGGAGACATGCAAGTCTATTATCCAGCATTCTCCCTCAAGGATATCTTTGGTATCTGAAACTTGATCTTCGTTTCAGTTAGTGTTGGGATGTGGTTTGAGGAATCTTTCCATGTTAACTGACCCTACTGAAGAAAGGTTTTTTGAAGTTAGCCACTTGTTTGTAATAGAGCTCTTACTTTTATCTTCGTTGTTTCAGTTTCTAAAAGAATTACATGATGGGGCTCAGTTTCACATGCTTACTCTTAATGCAACCGTAGGTAACCAGTGTGTGACTATTGTTGATGGGTGTGGGACCAGGTTCGAAACACTTAGTAAAATTTCATTTACTTTGACTAATTTCAGTTGTCTGATCATATCACACTTTGGGCTGAAAGCATGATAGAAAGGGTAATGTGTTCCATTTTCATTTTACAGATATTCTTTAGGCACCCCATGGGCATGTTAGCATAAGAAGGGTACCATTAGAGATTCGTAAGAATGGAATCTCTTTCTTTGAGCAACTTACGGTTTCATTGGGAAAGATGTGGGAACTACATTGATTGCAATGCATTGTGGGATGAAATGAGAGTAACATGTACGTGGGACAGTAGGAATACCAGGAAGGAGAGATGAATTTTGCTTGTGGAATTCAAGAAGGCTTCTTGAAGGGGGTGGTGACATTTAAATGGGCTTTTTTTTTTTTGGAGTCGGAGTCTCACTCTGTCGCCCAAGCTGAATGCAGTGCACATTCAGAGCCACCACAGCTTCCACCTGCTGGGCTCAGGCGCTCCTTCTGCCTCAGCCTTCCAGGTAGCTGGGACTACAGATGTGTGCCACCACGCCTGGCTGATTTTTTGATTATTGTAGAGATGAGGTCTCGCCAAGTTGCCCAGGCTGGTTTTGAATCCATGGTCTCAGGCGGTCTTCTCACCTCAGCCTCTGAATGGGTTTTTTGAAGCAGGAGCCGAAATTTATGGCAGGTTGATGAGCAGTCCGAGGCGGGAATGTGCACACCGCATTTGTGTCACAGCTGGTAAAAGTCCAGTGTGATGAAGACCAGGTGACAGTACAGCAGTTGGAAAAGTAGGCCAGGGAGGAGTTGGAGTATGACCCCAAAACCGGGAGGCCCACCGTTAAAATGTTTTGAGCAGGTTAGTGAGTGGGAGAATTTGTGATTTTGTAAGAAAACTGGTAACAGTGTATAGAATGGGTTGGAAAGGAGCAGGGGTGGGGATGAAAATAAATTTGAAGGATGTTTGTTTTGTTTTAGGTATAGTTTGGGTGCTTAAGGTAAAACATGTTTCCGGGTACTTCAGTTTTCGATATTTCCGTTTTCACTGGTTTTTGTTGTTAAATATCTGAGTGGCATTCAGCTTCAAACTGAATCCTAGGAATTAAGTTCTTACGGCAACTTTATTTTGAAGAGTGTAAGGTGCTGCTAAGAACCCTTGGACTTCAAGTCACAAAAACATAGATCAAATTTTGTAGCATGAAATCATCAGGAATACAAGAAAGGGGCAAAGGTGCAGTACAAGACCAACTGGAGATAGAAACGGCTCAGAAAAATCATACCGAACCCTAGATGGCCGAGCTTTAAAGTTCTGCCATCCTCCAGGTGTCTGCTGGGAGTGCTACAGCAGCTTGTAATGTTCCTTCACAGGTCATTTCTCTCGTTTACTTGAAACAGTCTTTGGAAGCTGTGCGAACAGAAAGCTTATAGAGATGGCTGTTTTTAGGAGAGTCCTTATTCTATTTTGGAATATTTTCAGAGGTTACTTTTGTCCCAGTGGAAGAAGAGCACAGATTAAATACAAGTAATGGCATCAGTTTTACTCCAGCCTGTTAAATTGCCCTTTCCTGTGCAGCAATTTGAATTTATCACCTCATGATAAGAAGTGGCTTTGTAGTGTTACTCAGTCAGCTTAAACGGTAGACCTTGCTCAAAACAAAATGTAGCTTACCTGGGTCATGAAAACTGTGTTATACACTAAAGGTCTTGAGGAATGACTTGGAAATGGGGCTCACCTGTATTTTTTTCTTTCTTTCAGAATGCCAGTGACCAGTATCTGGGAGAAGTATTTTTTGACATCTCGCTCTTTGTCCATTGTGGTTTTCTTGTAACCCTCACTTACCAAGGACTTTGCTCGGCATTTATTAGTGCTATCTGGGTAGCGTTTCCATTGCTCACAAAACTTTGTGTGCATAAGGACCTTAAGCAGCATGGTAGGGTATTTTTAATTTTTATACAAACGGGAAAACACCTTAAAGTATATAAGGCTTTTGTGGGCTGTTGCTTTCTGGATTTTATTGATAGGCTAATGTGTTGCTGTTTGTTTTCTCAATTTTTACACCACACAGATTGTCTTATACATTAGACCTCATCCCATTCTCATGTTTATAAACACGTAACTAATATGTTACTTGTGTGTTTTGTTTATTTGTATTTTGTCCTCACTGAGTGAAAGTGTTTATTTCACTGGAGAATATGCATCCTAAAGGAGTTGTATCCAACCTAATTTTGTCAAGTGTCCCAGTACTGTAAATATCTGTATCTCACTGTAGAATGTCTTTGACATGTGTTTTCTTTCTCTTTTTCCCTAGGTGCCCAAGGAAAATTTATTGCCTTTTACCTTTTGGGGATGTTTATCCCTTACCTTTATGCATTGTACCTCATCTGGGCGGTTTTTGAAATGTTTACCCCTATTCTCGGGAGAAGTGGCTCAGAAATCCCCCCTGATGTTGTGTTGGCATCCATTTTGGCTGGGTGTACGATGATTCTCTCTTCCTATTTTGTAAGGAAAATAATAATTTTTTGGTTTTTTTCTTTCTTAATTTCTTATATGAATTTGTGATCAATGTAGCCATACTAGAGTTTATGAAATAGTGTTACTTGAGAAAGTCTTAAGCAAAGGAAATGGTGAATGACTCTGCATCATGTGGGCTTGATATGGTAAGAAAATGTAGAATGGAATTTTTGATGTTGCTGAGTTTTAAATTTTTGCCTTATCATCCTCTCAAACCCTCTGATCATACCTCTTTTCAAATAGCCTTTAAAACTACCTGAATGTGAATTTGTAGAGTGTACACCAAGTGAGAGTTGTTAGAGGTTGCCTGGTGGTAAACTTTTAGAATGATTCTTAATAGTGTGTTTTGAAGTTACTAATTTGAGGCAAATGTTAATAAATATGTAGTTTTATTAGTGTGGTTAGAACTAGTAAAGGAAGAGCTTTGACTAATTTTGATGAGGCTTTTTCCATTATTCTTCTGTCTCATTGCTAGCACATCAAGGTTTATTGAGTCTGTCATGGCATCCAAACATGCCTTCTTTTACCAAGTAGTGAAAAAGCATCACAGGCCTTGTCAGCTCTCATTTTGCTGTATCAGTGTCCTGTCCTAGTAGGGAGGGTTCTGTCTTTGCTGTCCCTGCTTCTCTCCCATTGGGACTTCCCAGAGGGAAGAAGATACAGTGATGCAGAGTATAAGACCAGACCATCCTTTAGTAGAACAAGCCCTAGGCAGGGTTTTGCTCTTAGCCTGGTGTCCACACCTCCCGGACTTAGGCCAGGCCCCTTTAGAGAAGGCAGGCCTCTGTTTTGTGGCTGTCAGTATTGGAATTGTGAAGAAGAAGTACTTACGGAAGACCCATAGGTACACCTTGAGACTTGAGGCTAGGGGACCAAATAGAAAAAGGAGTGAAGACTTTTTTATAGTTCTTTTTTCCATGGGTAACTTCTTCATATTGACTCTTGTGAAAGTTAGGCTCTCAGCAGGTAAGGAGAAGGCTGCACACATGGCCAGCATTGTCCACGGGAGCCTCTTAAATAGTCAGTAAAGCACTGTATATGTGGCTTTGTGTATATAGCCCTGTCGAGTAATTCTTATGCACATTATTAAACATTTGAGGTTGGCTGTACTAGTCCTAAGAGAAATATGAGCACTCTAACCACTTTACCTTTAAGATAATAATAAAGTCCTTATTGGCATTTGTAAGGATGAATGGAATGTTCTAAAATGCTCGTTGTTGCCTGCAGGATTTGCTTCTTTAACCCTAACCCTTGACCAGGATGGTGTCTCACACCTGTAATCCCAGCACTCTGGGAGGCCGAGGCAGGAGGATCATTTGAGGCCAGGAGCCCAAGACCAGCCTGGGCAGCATAGCGAGATCCTCTCTGTCCAAAAAGTAAAAAATCAGCTGGGCGTGGTGGCACACTCCTGTAGTCCCAGCCACTGGGGGGAGATGAGGCACAAGAATCACTTGAGCCCAGGAATTTGAGGCTGCAGTGAGCCATGCGTGCGTGCCACAGCATTCCAGCCTGGCGACAGAGCAAGACCCTGTCTCAAAACAAAAGCAAAAACAAAAACAAAACCTCTGTTTTTATTATATGCTCTGTAGGATTAAAGGAGGTAGTAGTGATTTGTCAAAATCTGTTGATTAGGCTCTAATTTTAAGTCAGCTAAATCATGGATGGAATCCTGCTAGTGTATTTATTAAATTATTGCCAATGAATGGAAGTTCTTGATGCCCATAAAGACGATCCAGATGTGTGACATTTGAGTTTTGTTTCATTGATCATATGGAAAGAGACAGAATGAACATTGGAAGCTCACTGTGGAAACTGAAAATGTTCCTAAAGCATGGAAATCTTGGAAACCAAAAGAAAGAGGATTAAAGTGTATTGTCTTCTAAATTATATTTTGTTGGGAAAGCTTTTGCAGAGAAGAGTGCCTCTTGGAAGGCTTTAAAAGTCCCATCCAACTTTCATTGTAATGTGGAATAGTTCTGCTTTACTTTGATGCTGTTGGTTATCATTCTCCTCTTTGGTTTCTTATTTATGTGTAGCAATGTTAATGATGGTGGCGTATTCATAGTGAGACTGTTTTCTTTGGGTAATGGAGAGTTGAACCACAGTGCATACTCCAGAGAGCTTTTCTTTCCGTCCCTGGGGATTTATTACATCTATCTGCTAGAAAGCAATTCAGTTCTTGTCACGTGGTCAGTTAACAGGTTTCCTGGGTTACTCTTTGCTGGGCCATCGTGATTATGCCTGTGTCAATTGAACGAGAGCCGAAACGGGACTGCTGATAAGGCGTGGGGTCGGGAGGCGGAGACTCGGAGGGAAACAGAGCGGAGCCACGTGCGCACCGAGCCTCTTCTCGCGCTTCCCTTCGTTTCGTTTCACACCCACTTCAGAACTAGGCGGACATATGATATGACACTCAAGACAAATAGAATTATGGGGTTAGCTGTGGAATCCAAGCACATTGTCACTTTGTGGCCATTTCTTCCTCTTTCTTTTTCATTCTGTATTGGCTGTTTTATTTTGTACCATTACCAAGCCTCTTCCAGAAGGTAGCGGGGAGAGGCAGAAGACGAGCCCTTGTGATTTCGAAAAGAGCTTAAAGTAAGGTTTTAGGACATCTAGGTAGTGGCTGGCTTGGGAATGGCAGGAACTGTAGCATTATGGCAGGGAGGTTGTGCTTTGGTTTTTAACCTAAAAGACTTTCTGTACCTACACTTACCAGCCTTCCAGCAGGGTATTTGAAATCGTCCTAGGGAGCTACGTTTTAAATACTGTGGCTATGAGGACAAAGAGGGACAGACAGGGTGACAAATTGTGTTTTGTGAATGCACAGCCTTGAGTCTTAAGATGCTTTGCTGTATTTCTGTCCTCGTAGTAAACAGATATAAGATCTTTGACCTAAGACCAGAAATGCTTTGTTGTAGATGACCTTGAATGGGACATTGGGACACTATGGATACGAAAGTTCTTTTTTTTTTTTTTTTGAGTTGGAGTCTCACTCTGTCGCCCAGACTGGAGTGCAGTGGCTGCTCCCGGCCACTGCAGCCTCAACCTGCTGGGCTCCGGCGATCCTTGCGCTTCAGCCTTCCAAGTAGTTGGAACTACAGGTGCGCGCTACCACGCCCGGCTGATTTTTTTGATTTATTGTAGAGATGAGGTCTTGCCAAGTTGCCCAGGCGGGTCTCGAACCCACGAGCTCAGGCAATCCACTCACCTCGGCCTCCCAAAGTGCTGGGATTACAGACTGAGCCACCAAGCCTGGCTCGAAAATTCTTTATATAGTAGAGTATATGGTAGGTTATGAGTCTTTGCTGAATCTTTTTCACCTTTATCTTAATGAAAATACCTTCACATTCCTGTTTCTTACTTCTCTACTTGCTGACCCTGGGGGTGGGGCGGGCAATAAGGTGAAGAAGGCGAAGGGGGAGGAGCTGGGCTTAGATCAGTAATTGTTTCTCCAGCGGCGTCTTCAGACCCTGGAAGGGATCCGTGGATGTTCTGTGAGCCATGTGTGTCCTTTGCAGGTTTTAATTTAGTGGTTTAATTACAACTAAACATCTAAGGTAAATATATTTAGGATTTCCTGGATGCAACCTTGAGACTGAGCCATTCACCTGTACTGCCCAGTTCAGATTTGTCGTTTTGATTGTGTTAGCGTTGGTTAACTGGACACCTGAGGGGGCAGTATTACTTGGTCACGCCATTTTTCCTCATATGCAGGTCTGCAGGCGGTGTCTTGAAGACATCCAAATGCTAGTTGAGATGAACTCAGTACTTGGGTACATTATAAAAGCATTAATAGGTGGAGTTTGGATTTTGTTGAAATGGATCTGCCTAAGCTTAAAAAGCTTCTCTCTTGTCATTTAATGAAAGCCTTGATGCCACAATGTTTGGCATCGTTAAACGGTGTCTGATGTGCAATCTCAACCATGTCAGGGCATTGGTAGAATCAGAATGGTCTGACCATTGACAGTTCTACCTCTCTCTTCTCTTTGCTGATTGAGTCCAGGGACATTGTCCTCCATTTCCTTTTCCCTGTTGCTTACTGTCTGCCCGTTAAAAGGCAGATTGGAGGCATCTACCATTTTCTAGGCTCTAACTTGTGATGGAAATCTCCTAGAATTAGTGCTTTGTTTGCGAGGTTTTGGAGACAAATTTTCCTTCACGGTCTGGTAGCTAATGCCTGCTAACAAAATAAAGTCATTAAAAACACCTTTCTGCCATTGGTATGAATTTGAAATCTCTATTTTTGTGTTTTAGATTAACTTCATCTACCTTGCCAAAAGCACCAAAAAAACCATGCTGATGTTAACTTTGGTGTGTGCAGTTACATTCCTTCTTGTCTGCAGTGGAACTTTTTTCCCATACAGCTCCAATCCTGCAAATCCGAAGCCAAAGAGAGTGTTTCTTCAGGTAAGAGCAGTTTTGCTTGGGTGGTTTGAGAGTCTGGAGAGGAAAACCATGTGTGTGTTGAGTTTCACTCATGAAAAGAAAACAGGACCGAGTTTTCTGCAGTTGACCTGTTTGCTTGTCCTCACCTTTGTGGGAGGCAGGGAGTAGAAGACTGACTAGTAAGAGGCGTCTCGTCAGCTAGACACACTTCTTCCAAGCGACTGAATTGGAAGTATTTTCTTGCTTTTATTACTGTTCAAGTGATAAAAGGACACCTACTTGCCTACTCGGAAAAACAAGAGCAAATATGTGTCATGAAATAATGGGCTTTTAGAAATACAAAAAAAAGGATTAGAGATAGAATGTAAAAATGTCTGCAGGCTGAATGAAAATCTAAACTATTAACTGGCAAAATAAAACAGACATTTTAAAATGCTAGTAAAATTAATCTTAAGTAGCATCCCAAGTAATATGTGATAGTGAAAACTTAATAGCCTAGAAAGGGATTAATGTGGTGAGATTTAGGACTTTCTTTAGGTTCTAGGTTTTTCTCCAGATTTTTTAGAGCTGTTACTGTAAAGCGGGCAGCGACTTCGTCATCACCAGACAGAAACGCCAGAGGAGTTATTACCTAGATCGTTATTCAAGGACTTGAAAAATTAAAAATATTTGAACTTAGGGGATTTTGGAAAAGGGTCACATAGTCCTTGTTTACCGTCCTGAAGGGACACAGTGACAAATTTTAGTCTGTAAAACATTTAGTGAAGAACAAATAGTTTTTAGGAGGTTCAGTGTGTTTTCAGTATGTGCTAATTTGTATAACTATGTCAGTAGTATTTAGGAAAAGCCTGGTTTTTATTTTTAAAAAGCTCTTTTCTCGTTCGTTTTGGGGTTCTTCTTCCACTGTGCCAGAAGTTGGCAAACTTTTCCTGGAAAGGACAAAATAACAAATGTTTCAGGCTTTGTCAGCTATACCTAAATGAATGAGCATGTGCATGTTGCAGTAAAACTTAATTTATAAAACCAGCCAGTGGGCAGTTGGTCTGTAGGCTGCAGTTTGCCAACCCCTGCCCTAGGCAATCCTTTTTTTCCCCTTTTCCCCCGTGTGATATTCTTCAGGCTGTTTTCTGCTGTTATAAAGCTGTTCCAAATGGAGCATGGCGTCCTTTCTAGAACTCTATTAGGCACAAGTCTGTCATCTAGTGGTGAGCTGCGATTCCCGTTTTTTCCTCTTCACTTGAATTAGCTTTGTGTGACATACTGAAAGGGAAATTTGTGTATGTGTATTTGCTTAGGACCTATTTGTTTTAAATCCTAATCTAAAAGGAGCCCTAACATTCATGTCTTTTGAGTCCAAAATAGTGGGTTTTGAAAAAGTTTTATATGAATTTAAATACGTGTTTGTAAGATACAATAAGACAATCTATATATCTGTCTTCCGGTTAAAAAGAAAGAATGCCAGTAGTGCCTGAGAAGCCCGAGTGTCCCCTTTAGCTTGCTCCATATCCAGTCCGTTTCTTGGTGTTGTCATGCATAACTCATTTTTGTAATGTGAGATGGGAACGCGGGTGCACATTGAAACAGCAGTTTTCTTATTAGTCTTGCTCTTTTCAGCATATGACTAGAACATTTCATGACTTGGATGGAAACGTAGTGAAACGGGACTCTGGAATATGGATCAATGGGTTTGATTATACTGGGATGTCTCACGTAACACCTCACATTCCTGAGATCAATGACACCATCCGAGCTCACTGTGAGGAGAGTGCACCCCTCTGTGGTTTCCCTTGGTACCTTCCAGTGCACTTTCTGATCAGGTTGGTCCTTACTTGTCTGTTTAAACGGGGGGTTCCTGTGCTCTCGAGTCCCATCACCATCACTCTGCCAGTACTCTGTTACTTAAATTGTTACTCCTAACACACCATCCAGTGCTAGTCATCCTGTTTTTTTGTATCGTTAGCAAAACTCCTTTCTTTTTTTGAGTTTTAAACTGCCACAGCTTTTTAAAAATTTTTATTGTAGAATCTGGGGTTCCCGTGAAGATTTGTTACATAGGTGTATTGCCTGACAGTGAGGTTGGGCTTCTGATGGGCTCCCCATCCCCACCTAAGAGCAGCATGGTGCCCGATGGGTGCTTGCACCCTTCTTCCCCCTGCCTCCTCTTAGCAGTGCCAGTGTCTGATGCCCCATCCTCGTGTCCTGTGTGCCCAGTGTTTAGTACCTACCTGTGAGTGAGAACCCGTGGCACTTTCTGTTTCTGTGATGATTTACTTGGAATGATGCTCTCCAGCTGCATCCCTGTTCTGCAAATGGCATGATTTCATTCTTTTTATGGCTGTGAGTGGACCACATTTTCTTTATCTGACCCACTGTCAGTGGGCACCGGGGTTGGTTCTGTGTCTTGCTGTTGTGCATGGTGCTGCACTGAACACACGAGTGCAGGTGTCTTTTGGTGGAATGGTGTGTGCTCCTTGGTTATATACCCAGAAGTGAGATTGCTGGGTTGAATGGTAGATCTATTTTTAGTTCTTTGAGAAACCTCCAGACTGCTTTCCACAGAGATTGCCTATATTCCCACTGACAGTGTACAAGCGTTCCCTTTTCTCTACAGCCTTACCAACATCTGTTTTTTTTACTTTTTAATAATAGCCATTCTAACTGGCGAGATGGTATCTTATTGTAGTTCTGATTTGTATTTCTTTGATGATTAGTGATACTGAGCGTGTTTTCTTATGTTCGTTGGCTGCTTGATGTCTTCCTTTGAGAATTGTGTGTTCATGTCCTTTGCCTACTTTTTAATGGGGTTATTTGTTTTTTCCTGTCAATTTGAATTCCTTACAGATTCTGGATATTAAGCCTTTGTCAGATGCATAGTTTCAAATAGTTTCTCTCATTCTTTGGGTTGTCTCTTTATTCTCTTGATGGTTTCTTTTGCTGAGCAGAAACTTTTTGACTTGATAAGATTCTACCTGTCAATTTTATTTTTTGCTGCATTTGCTTTTGGGGACTTGACTGTGAAATCATTGCCTAGGGCGATGTCTAGGAGAATGTTTCTAGGTTTTCTTTTAAGATTTTTATAGTTTAATGTCTAACGTTTAATTCCTTGGTCCATTTTGAGTTGATTTCGGTACATGGTGATAGGCAGGGGTCCAGTTTTATTCTTCTGCATGTGGTTAGCCAGTTTTCCCAGCACCTTTTGTTGAATGGGCTGTCTTTTCTCCAGTGTTTGTTTTTGTCAGCTTTGCCCAAGATGAGTTGGTTGTAGGTGCGTGGTTTTTGAGGCTTTTCTATCCTGTTCCATTGGTCTGTGTGTCTATCTTTGTACCAGTCCCAGGCTGTTTGGTTAGGGTTAGGGCAGTTGTTTTTTTTCTTCTTCTGAGTCGGGGTCTTACTCTGTTGCCCAGGCTGAATGAAGTGCACTGGCATGATCACGGCTCACTGTAGCCTTAGCTTCCTGGGATCAAGAGGTCCTTCTCTCAGACTCCTGAGTAGCTAGAAGGTACAGATGTGTGCCACCATGCCTGGTTGCTTTCTTAAAATTACTTTTTATGGAGTTGAGGTCTTACTATGTTGCCTAGGCTGGTCTCAAACTCCTGGGCTCAAGCTGTCATCCCGCCTCAGCCTCCCAAAGCACTGGGATTGCAGTTGTGAGCCACTGTGCTGTGTAGTATAGTTTGAAGTCTGGGAGTATGCCGCCACCGGTTTTGTTCTTTTTGCTTAGGATTGCTTTGGCTGTTTGGATACTTTTTTTGCTTCCATGTGAATTTAACTATTGTCTTTCCTAGGTCTGTGAAAAATGTTGCTGGTAATTTGATAGGGATGGTGTTGAATCTGTAGGTAGCTTTGGGCAGTGTGGACATCTTAATGATGTCGATTCTTACGCTCCATGAGCATGAATTGTTTTTCCATTTGTTTGTGTCATTTTGAGTTCTTTTTTTTTCTTTTCTTTTTAAACAGGATTTATTGAGAGGACAGAAAGACTTCCAGAGTGGGAGGGGACCCGAGGGGGTTGCCCTATCTTTGATTTCTTTAAGCAGTGTTTTGTAGTTTTCATTGTAAAGATCTTTCACCTCTTTGTTTAGATGAATTTTGAGGTGTTTTTGTGTGTGTGTGTGTGTGTGTGGCTATTGTGAATGGAATTGTGCTTTTGACGTGGTTCTGAGCCTGCTTGTTGGTATAGAGAAATGCAACTAATTTTTGAGTGACTTCTGTTTTTTTTTTAGTGGGAGTGGGATAAAGCACTCAGAAGGATAGTTTTTGCTTTTCCAAATTTAAAAAGTCTTTTCTCTAGAAGCCTGAGTGTTAGAAAGGGTGGCCCTCCTAACTGATAGCGTGTAAGCATCTATCCTAAATTTTTTTATTTTGGGGGAAGATTTTATTGTTTGGCAGTGAAGGATTGGGTGAGAAGAAACAGGAAAAGTAGTGGAATCAAGATCAGTTAGGTAGCTCCTTTCTTTTTCATGTTGGGAAGGTTTTTGTTACACAGTAACCTGAGTTTACAGGAGTTGGCACTGTGTATCATATCCACCAGAGTTTATTTTCATACCCCAAAATGTGTTCCTAAATGCTGAATACTTCCATGAGTAATAGACAGCTATCCACTCATAAAGCATCCTAAATATTGAAGCCACCTTTCCAAATAGGAAAAACTGGTATCTTCCTGCACCAGAAGTTTCTCCAACAAACCCTGCCCATTTTCGACTTATATCCAAAGAACAGACACCTTGGGATTCTGTGAAGTTGACCTTTGAAGCAACAGGTAAGTCATGTATCAGTTTTTTCTTCTCTCCTTTACTTAACCTTTTTAATAAGTGGCATATATGTTTTTCCCTCAGGCAAATCAGTGACCAGCAACTTAGGAAGAGCTTAGAGTATTTCTAAAAGTGAATGAGACTGGTTATTATTTCTTTAAAATTTAATATTTCTATTTTTATTTTTAGAGCAGTTTTAGGTTCACTGAAAAACTGGAGCAGAAAGTGCAGAGTTCCCGTTTCTTGCCCGTGCCCCGACTTTACCTATTAACAGCTTGCGTTAGTGTGGTACATTTTACACAGCTTATGAGGCAATGGTTTTGTCTTACTATGAACTGAAGTCCCCAGTTTACATTAGGGTCTATTCTTTGTTTTGCATACATAGTTCTGTGGGTATTGAATAGTGTCATGTATCTACCCCTGTAGTGTCATCAGAAATATATTCAGCGCCCTGAAGGTGGCCTGCGCCTCACCAATTTCTCTCTCCCTCCCTCCCGAGCAGGCCCAGTACTGTTTTTTGCCATCTCTATAGCTTTGGCTTTCTGTGGGCCACATAACTGGAATTGTGCTGCATGTAGCATTTTCAGATTGCCTTCTTTCACTTAGCAGTGTACATTTAAGGGTTCTCCTCTTTTCTGTGGCTTGAAAGCTCATCTCTTTTTATTGCTGAGTAATTCATTGTATAGGTTGGCCATAGTTGTCCGTATTACTTGAAAAGTGCTGCTGCACACATTCCTGTGTGGGTTTTTTTGTGGGTAGACTGAGTTTTGGCTCATTTGGGCAAATACTTAGGAGCGTGATTGCTGGATTGTGTGGTGAGCCGATTTGTAGCTTTGAAAAACTGCTAAGCTGTCTTTCAAAGTGGCTGTACATTTGCATCACTGCCAGTGAGTGAGAGTTCCTTTTGTTCCACGTCCTCACCAGCATCTGGTGAGCATTTTAGCCATCCCGACAGGCAGGTGGTGGTGTCGCATTGGTCTGATTTGCAGTTCCTTAATGGCGGGAAATGATGAGTGTCTTTTCCTATGCTTCTTTGCCATGCATATGTCTTCTTTGGTTATGTATCTCTCTAGGTCTTCAGTTTGTTTATTAACTGGGTTTATTTTCTTATTGTTGAGTTTTAAGATTTCTTCGTATGTTTTGGATACACATCCTTTAGCATGTGTATCTTTTGCAGATATTTTCTCCTTGGTAGGCTTGTTTTTTTCTCTTAATAGTGTCTTCTGAAGAGCAGAGTTTTTAAAATTGAATGAACCCCAATATGAACAGTTTTTCTTTGGTGAATCCTGTCTTTGTTGTGTCTGAAAGTCATCACCAAACTCAAGACTTCATGTTATTTTCTGGAAGTCATTCAGCTTTATGTTTTACACGTAGGTCTTGATCCATTTTGAGTCAATTTCTATAAAAAGTATAAGGTCTTTTATAGATTCTTTTTTTGCATGTGGATGTCCAATTGTTTCAGTGTCATTTTTTGTTTTTATTTTTCAGAGACAGGATCTCACTCTGTCACCCAGGCTGTAGTGCAGTGGCACGATTGTCGCTCCCTGTAGCCTCGAACTCTCCTGGGCTCAAGGGAGCCTTCCATCTTAGCTTCTTGAGTAGCTAAGACTACATACAGTTATGCTACTAATTAAAAAATGCCTGGCTAATTAAAATTCTGGGTTTTTAAATTTTTTTTTTTTTTAATAGAGACAGGGTCTCATTATTCTCTCTTGTTGACCAAGCTGGTCTTCAGACTCTTGGGCTCAAATGATCCTCCTACTTTGGCCTCCTGAAGTGCTAGGACTGCTGGTGTGAGCCACTGCACCTGGCCTCCATTTGTTGGAAATGCTATTCTATCGCTGTTGAATGGTCTGTCTTCACTGTCACTCTATTTGTACGGGTCTATTTCTAGGCTCTTTGTTCTATTCCATTGATTAGTTTCTTTATTCTTTTGTCGTAACCACAGTAGTTATATTGTAAGCCTTGAAGTCGGGTGATATCAGTCCTCTGACTTTGTTCTTCTCCAGTATTTGTGTCTGGCCTTTGCATGTAAACTTTAGAATCAGTTTGTCAGTGTTCACAAAGTAACTTTCTGGGGTTTTGATTGGGATTGCATTGAGTCTATAGAGCAAGTTGGGAAGAAATGACACTTTTACAAAATTGACTTTTCCTGTCCATATTATGGAATATCTTTCCACTTATTTGTGTCTTGTTTAATTTCTTTCATCAGAATTTTTTAGTCTTTTCTATATAGATCATGTATATGTTTTTAAAGATTTCTTCTTAAAAAGTTTAGTTTTGGGGTTGCTGATGTAGCTGGCATCGTTCCTTGAGGGCATCGAGGAAACCAGCGGACCTTCGCGCATCGACCGGTCTTGCTGCAGTCACTTGCTTCTGGGAGGCTTTGTGGGTGATTCTTTCAGACTTTGTAAACAGACTGTCATGTCATCTGCAGACGGTTGTACTTCTTCTTTCCCATCCCTCTGCTTTTATTTCTACTTCTTGACTTACCGCATCATCAGGACTTTGCAGTTTGGCTTTGAAAGGGGTGGAGGGAGGGGAAGGCCTCGCCTTGTTCCTGATCTTAGTGGGGGAGCGTCTGGTTTCTTACCACCGAGTACAATGTTGGCTGCAGGTTGTTTGGTAGAAGTTCTTTTTTTTGACTTTCATTATAAAGATGTGGGGTACAATTCAGGCTTGGGTATACCCAATGATCATGCAGGTATCCTTGTTGATGGGTACAAGTTCTTTATCAGGTTGAGGAAGTCCCTTCTGTCCATCGTTTCCTGAGAGTTTTCATCAAGAATGGGTGTTGGACCTTGTCAGGTGCCTTCTCTGCATATATGGATGAAGCCATGTGACTTTTCTTCTTGGCTTGCTGATGTAACAGGTCACGTTAACCGGTTTTCACGTGTTGATGCTGTTCTGCATACCTGGGATCAACCTCGCTTGGATCCACATATTGCTGGGTTCGCTTTGCGGATGTGCTGTTGGGAATTCTTACGTCTTTGTTCATGAGAAACGCCAGTCTGTGGTTTTTGGAATGGGTTGTCAGTTTTGGTATCAGGATAATGCTGTACTCATGGAATGATACAGGAAGTAGTCTGTCTGCTTCTGTCTTCCTTAGAGGCTTTGTAGAGAATTGCTGTAATTTCATCCTTAAGTGCTTGGTAGTTTACCCACAAACCCACCTGGGCCTGATTTTTTTGTTTTGGAAGGTTATTAATTATTGACTCAATTTTTAAAATGGATGTAGACCCATTCAGACTATCTGTTTTTTTTTGTTTTTTTTTTTTGAGTCGGAGTCTTACTTTGTTGCCCAGACTGGAGGGCAGGGGCACACTCACGGCCACCGCAGCCTCCACCTGCTGGGCTCCGGCGATCCTTCCACCTCAGCCTTCCAAGTAGCTGGAACTACAGGCCTCTACTACCACGCCCAGCTAATTTTTTGATTTAATGTAGAAACGAGGTCTTGCCATGTTGCCCAGTCTAGTCTCAAACCCTTGGGCTCAGGCAATCCTCTTGCCTCCACCTCCCAAAGTGCTGGGATGACAGGTGTGAGCCACTGCACCTGGCTAGTTATTATGTCTTTTCTTCTTTCTTACTTTGGATTTAATTTGCTCTTCATTTTCTGGTTTATTAAGTTGGAAGCTTTGATGATTGAGTTTAAATAATCTTTTTCTAATATATGCATTCATTGCTTTAAATTTTCTTCTTAGCACTGCTTATGCTCCATCCCATACATTTTAAGTTGAATTTTATTTTAATTTAGTGCCACATATTTTTAAACTTTTCTTGAGACTACTTTTTTGATGCGTTGTTATTTAGATGTGTGTTTATTTACTCTCCAAATAATTTAGGATCTTCTAGCCTTTTTTTTCTGGTCCTGATTTCTAATTTAATTTCACTGTGATCTGAGAGCATACTTTGTATGATTTCTTTTCTTTTTTTTTTTTTTTTTGAGTCGGATTCTCACTCTGTCGCCAGGCTGGAGGGTGGTGGCACGCTCCTGGCCACCACAGCCTCAACCTGCTGGGCTCTGGTGATCCTTCTGCCTCAGCCTTCCAAGTAGCTGGAAGTACAGGTGCGTGCTACCACGCCTGGCTTATTTTTTGATTTATCCTAGAGACGAGGTCTCACCAAGTTAGTTGCCCAGGCTGTCGAGCCCCTGAGCTCAGACAGTCCTCTTGCCTTGGCCTCCCAAAGTGCTAGGATGACAGTTGTGAGCCACCACACCCAGCACTCTGTATGACTTCTATCCTGATTTATTAAGGTGGCTTTATGGTACGGGATGTGGTTCCGTGTGAGCTGGAAAGGAATGTGTGTGGCTGCTGCTGGAGCAAGACTTCTGGAGTGTCCCTGCGGCCCTGTTGATTGCGGAGGCTGCTCGATTCGGCCGTGCGCTTGCTGGTTTGCTGCTGCTGGGCTTATTCATCAGCGATGGGGGTGGACTCTCCGACTGTGGTGGTGGGTGTGTCATTCTCCTTCGGTTCTGTGGGTTTTCGTGTCACCTGTTTTGCCGCTGAGTGGTTGGGGGCATACCCGCTGAGGGTGTCACATCTTCTGGAGAGCTGCCCCTTTCTCTTTACTGTTAGGCATTGATGCTCTTCGGTCCTGACAGTTTTCCTTGCTGTAAAGTCTACTTTGTCTAAAAGTAATTCAGCTCTCCAGCTTTTTTTTTCTTTTTGGATTAGTGTTAGCATGGTATAGATTTCTCCATTCATTTACTTTTTTTTTTTATAAATAGAGACAGGGTCTCACTGTGTTGCTCAGGCTGGTCTCAAACTCTTGGGCTCAAGCAGTCTCCCACCTTGGACTCCCAAATTGCTGGGGTTACAGGTGTGAGCCACCATTCCTGCCTATCCATGTACTTTTTTTTTTTTTCCCCTGAGTTGGAGTCTCACTCTGTCACCTAGACTGGAGTGCAGTGGCACACTCATAGCCACCCTAGTGTCGACCTGCTGGGCTCTGGTGATCCTTCTGCCTCAGCCTTCCAAGTAGCTGGAACTACAGGTGCACACTACCA